AGTAAATAGCAAGCACTACTGGCATTTCCATCGCCATTGATTTTCTATGAGACATTGTATTATTTTCATCTAACTATATACCTAAAATAGGTTAAATTGTTTATGAATGAAATCAAGTACTTTTTGAATGGAAATACAATTATAAATTCAGAACAATGCTCTTTATAGCAAGTTCATGGAAAGGACAATGACTAAAGTAGAATGATTCACAATTTCACTGAAAGTGCTAACAATTTTGCTTTGGAGGGAACTCTCGAGAGGTATTTAAGCTAAATGAGGCTTCAAGCAGAAAATTGCATAATAAAACACCACAAAAGGTTAGCAGAAAAGGGTAAACTAGACTTAATTAAGTTAAGGATACGTACTACGAGTATTACCCTGTTAGCGAGAAAATGCGGGTGGAGTTTTTTATGTGCGGGGCTCAAAGCGAGAATAACTAGATTCTCAGTCCATTTCTTTTTCACATATGGTTATACCCAAGGTTTCACTTCGATCACCGTAGGGCGGACAGGTGTGTGGTATCTCTTGCATATCACCAACCAACATGCACGGTTGGGTTGTTGAAATTATGTAGGTACAAAATATTGCTTTGTATAAGTTATTTTACATGCATACTTAACTTAGTTAAAATTATGTAAAAGACGAACTCCACCTTAACACTAGTTGATAAGTAAACTGAGACCAGCGCTGTTGGATTCATAATAATAATGTACATTATTTTATACTATCTTCTTTATATAAATTCTGATTGTGAATCTGTTTGTGGTCCTATGAGAATAAATGAAAAAAAAAAAATATGATATGGATGTGGTTTGATGAATCTATCTACTTACTTACTTGTTACCACCTAACTCGAAGTACTAATGACTCTATTAGATTTAATACTAGATACTCATACAGATTTGCTGCTATTTAATATGATTTCCCCCTTTCGTATCAATATCGTATCGTACGTATGTCACTAGAAATTTCGAATAATCACTAACAGCTTAGAAAAATTGAGTGCATAATATAATAAGATTTTTATTTCGTCCTTACACATTATTTTTCTTGCTTTCTGGCTTCCTTTTGAGCAATTGCTCAAAACTATTATCATTATATTACACCAAATATTAAAGCAAAATTTGAATATTTTCTGCCATGTCTTATTGATAAGGAAAAATGTTCGGGACTTATATCGATAGATTGACAACATAAGTGAGGGACTTACAAGCACTTTCGAAGTAAATGAAAATACGAATCTCTAAAGGAAGCCTTGATAGAGAAGGAAATTACAGTGCAACAGTATTTTGTACATGTAAGACTTCTTTTGCTTTCGAAAAAACAGATGAAATACTTCTTTCTGAACCAAAGTAAAACAAATTATGTTTCTTTTAAAAATAATTCACCTTAGAGACAAAAAATATAGACTAAAGATAGCAAACAGCTTTCAAAATTGAGAAAGACATGATTTCAACACGAAAGCTTTCTAAGCTGTGTATTTAACAGACTTTCGTTTGATTCCCTGCACTGCATGTTTGAATAAACTAAAATTTTCTGAAAATATGATTCTACTAGCTTTCCGCCCGCGGCTTCGCCTGCGTGGAATTTTTCGGTTTTTATATAACCTATGACACTCAGCAATAATGTGGCTATCTATTGGTGAAAGAATTTTTAAAATCGGTTCAGTAAATCCCGAGATTACCACTTACAATTTAACAAATATACAAACACACAAACTTTACCTCTTTATAATATTAGTAACTATAGGTTATTCACATTCACCGGTTTGTATATGAACAAGGTTGTAACATACCCACAACCCACACGATAGAAGACAAAGCTACATGCATGAAAATACGTTCAGAAACATAAATATTTCATACACCCTTATAATAACAGTCAATGTTTTGCATAGCACGTGCCACCTATGCGAACGAAAGTCGAATATACACAACCTACTTATATTATGTAGCAACCTAATATTTACAATAAGTATCTATGTGATTGTGAAGCAACTTTGAAACAGAAGCTCTACATATTTGTGAAGAATTTCTACGAGTTGCAGGCGTTTCAAATAGCTTTTGCGAAATAAGAAAGGTCTAAATGGAATTTTCCTGCAACAGACAGACACGTATAATAATTAACCTACAAAATTATAGTCGACTGAGTACTATGATGGGGTTCTCGTCCGCAACTGCAGGTACAAACTACCTGTCATTGTGTTGTCTTCTAAGTGTGGCCCTTGAAACCTTTTTAGAAGACTTATTGACCAACTAATAATTCAGGACAATCGCAACTCAAAGTTTAAAGAAAAGTACTGTACCTATATTGAGCCTTTGAAATCTCCCCCGGCTATAAGTGGAACAGCAGCGTTAAACGCTGTTTGAACACGTTTTTCAAGGATAATTTATTGAAATATCGCAATAACATCACATATAACTTTATGTTTATTCGTAATTATTTTCATTCAGTTGTCGTTATTTCAATAAAGTAGATAGTAAACAGCCACCGAGTCAAGAGGCCGGCTCTGGCGAGAGTCCAACGTGTGTTTGTAAACTTTCATCCGACGAATCTATATTTATTCGACGAATTTTATGTTTGACCACCTACTGGCGCCCGTCCCTTGTGCGTAGCATAAATAAATAATCTCATATAATACTCTCGTGGGTGAAGGGATCCATCAAACATTACATAGGACTGTTTATTAGGTGGGGCTCGAAATGAAAACGTTTTTATATAAGCTCTTCGCTTTGAGGTCTTCCATGCGATGTATTAATGTATAAGCAACAGATTGGCAATGATTAATAAATAACTAATGCTCTTTAAACAGAAACCCAACTTGATTTACAAAATTCAATGCTAAACTGGTTCTCAAATTCGACTCTACGTTAATTAGTTATTCGTTTTTAAAGTCTTTGTTTGAAGAAGTTCGGCATTAATTCTTAATTATTGCATCTATGTAGGTATCGATATCGATTTTCCATTGCTAAAATATTCAGAGAGACCAGCAACATTCCAAACTGCGAAATCCGCGCTCTTTCACTGTTGTTATTTATTAACGAACAACAATGGGCCGTAATTTTGACACTAACAGTAAAATCTAGAAGTGCCATTTTTATTGTTACGCTGCTTTATTAATTAATTAATTATCAAAACAAATATTTACCGCAAACATCTCCATCAGAGCAGCAGATTTGTTTGCGAAATGATAACAAAAATAGGTTACGAAATGAAGTCAGCGGTCTCATCAAATTATACTTAGCGTGACCCAAATATTCGAACTTTAACACCGAAATATAACTAAAGAGTATAAATACGGCACGTGAGATCCAAACAGGCGATAAACACTCACTTACTTCTGTTAGGTAATCTTTATGGCTCTACAGGGCATTAAAATTAAGATTGTTTGAGTCGTTTCTTGCAAGCTCTTTGTAAAGTTTCGGGAATAACGCGAATCCCTCTGGCGTTTTGGAATTTATTTGATAAAAGTATAAAAGTTGAGATATCTAAGACCTTTGTTACTGTAGCGCAGGTTTATTCAATTGTAAATCATTAAACTTCTCGAAAAGAAAACAAATTCTCTGATTTTATTTATTAAGTAATTAATAAATAAGACTAAGAAGATCGTGTTAGTGGAATACTAGTTAGTCATTTTAGAGCAAACTTGGGTAATAATTGCACGAATTCATTAAACATTCTGGAGCGACAACAGCTGATGATACTGTTCATCTCTCTTCGGATAAACATCTTATCAAACTCTACCCTGAATACTAAAGAGGCTCTAACCTAGTTGACAGAATAATTTAGGTTAAGTTTATTGTTTTCCATTAAACAAGCACCTTGCAAGATTAGTTAAGTATTTCAATGTCAAACTGAACAAATATTTATTACAGTATGCGTTTTATACCTAAGTGACACAGAAGCATCTCTATTATTATATTTCATTATTAATCTCTATATTAATTAATACTTACGCCTGAAATAGATATACCTAGGTACTCGTAATTATAAAAATGTAGAGTCATTAGAATATTTTCTTTGAAATTGGTTACTCAGTAATTTGGACGATAATCATTTAATACGCCTAATTGAAAAACATCAGACAGACAGCATTGCACAACCTCGGTCGCCAGGTAGATGCGCGCGCGACCATTTTTGTTTACATTTTACAACCGGTTTGGACGGATACGTAAACCTGCTTCTTACCGTCTTTTTCTGTTGCTATTACATCAAAGGACAATGTTCGTTCTCCATACATTGTTCGCCTAAAGAACCAACAATTTTGACATATTACTACCCGAAAGCGAAATAATACGATTCTGTGTGTAAGAACAATGATTCCTGATGGACACTTGCCATAAAATTAATGATTAAGAATATTAAATCACAGCGANTTGTTATGTTGCGTCAATTTATTGCGCCCTAGTCTTAAATAGTTAGCATGCCAACCAATCATTTTATTGCTCGGTCAATTGGCTACAATAGCACGGCGCAGGACAGCCCTGGCCGAGCTTCTGCGGCGCCTGTTATCTCCAAGATCGCGATGTAAGTGCCTCATTAGTTACGTAACATATTCGCGCCACGTCGGATCCACTCGTCATTCTAGATCCGCAGTCTCTATTAACATTTTACTGAGAAACATAAGACTTTTTATTCGTCGTAGGAATATACCACAGCGGCATTCTTCTTGAAATCAAACGTACTTTTCGTAGGTACATTTTCGAGAGCCGATGACCAGCGAAATCCGGATTTGTCTAAAAATTACCTGAGCTGTTGTTTCTCGTTTCTCGAGCACCTGACCCTACAATGCAACATGTTCGCGCATAAAGGCATTTAAGTAACACCCAAAAAAAACAACAATGAAGTTTGAATGCCACCAAGAGCATTGTAACTCTACATTTCGATTTGTTTACGAAATCTGCCATCGTTGTTTCTAAATAAACTACGATAGAGAAACGCGTGACATCACGCGCTATCATTGTGAGATACTGAACGTAAACAAGTCTTATATCACTTACCGCATCCTCCAGCGTTTTGAAGTCGTTGAAGAGTCTGTTGTTGGACACTTTCTGGTCCAGGCCGTTGAGGGATGCCTCCACTGCGACGATGTGGGCGGATAACTGCTCCACCTCTTGGCGGAGGCGAGCTATCTGCACCTCGCGGAGCACCGTGAGCACCAGCAGCCACACGAAGAGCACCGCTACCGTCGCCGCCGACGTGATGAAGCAGGCCTGCCGCCGCCGGCCGCTCTGCTCCAACACTCGGTTCCTGTACTGCATCTCGAAGTCACCACTCACTAAATTCTGCGACAAGTCCTTAGATTCCTTCAGTTCTGTTTGCGGATACATTGCGGCGGATTCGGCTATGAGTGCGTGGTTTTCGGCCATCACAGATCACACTGCACTCGCGTAAGGGTGTTCCGCATTCGTACACAAATGATTAGTTATCGTTCCATTATCGGGGAAGTTGGGTCGTTGGGTGGTAGAGGATTGTTTGGCACGTGTGGAGTAGCGCGGCAGCGAGCGACACGCGCGGCGGTCGGGGCGCGCTGGGAGCGAGTGCGGCGCACGCGCAGGCCGCGTCCCGGCCATCCCGCGCGCTGCGGCGAGCCGTCACCGAGATTAACCTTTGTTAGTTAATCGTTTATAGCCAATAAAACTTACTGAGCCATTTCACGCGGTAGGCTCGTTTTATGGTCGTGGGAAATGTCCATTTAGAAAGGTTTATGTGGGTGTTAATTTTTATTGATATACAGATTCACCATAATTTGAAGGCAAACGCTATGTAAATCATCCTACAGTCGACAGCATATCAAACATTTTAATTTGAAAATTATCATCATTACACATAGACATCTAACACTAATGAACCTGTTATTTGTAAATACAAGAGCAAGCTTTTTGTAGTAAGCTTATTGTCACGCTCTACGTGTCAGATATTTTGTACAGGACAAGCTTTTCAAAATAAAAATAATAAAAAGTCCGGCTCGTCACATACATTTAGAAAATACTGCGTGATTACTGAGTACCCACAAATGCAATATGCACAAAAAATCTGTCATGAGAGCAGTAAGTAAATATTACCGACTCTACATAATGGAATCCCTGTAAAGTAATATTAAGCACAATATTATATTAATTAACTCTGACATACTTACCAAGACCCAATAACAAAATTGTACTGTTTCAAGGAAAATGAATTACTATAGTGGCAATCAGTCAGAGCCGCAGCTGGTCCCGAGCACATGAGCTGTCGTATCTTCCCGTTATGTCATTACCCTGGAACCTGCTAACTTCACTTTCATGACATAATAACTCCGTAACTTTATGGTATTTTTATTATCCAAATTAACAAAATTATATTACTTACTCATCTTCGCGTTAAAACATTACCCCTTAAACCTGCTAAATTTCATGACATAAATTTCGTAAGTTTGGGATTTTTAATATCTAAATTGTACTTCTTAATTACTTAAGTACAAAATAAATTAAATTTCATAAAGACAATTTAACTCCTGAAGAAATGTAAAAGTTACAAAAACCACTCTACCACTGTTTGAAACGTTATATTATACTGAATAGTCCAGTCAATAAAGCATGGAAAACTATAGAACACAATTTCTGACTTCAGGACTTTATTTAGACTACTTAGGAGGTGAACATAGCAAAAGTCCCCGCCCTTAGCCCTTGAGCCGGCGGGGAGAGGGGGGTTTAAAGGTGCCACTTTTCGGTTTTTCGCTTAATCCTCGGAAACTATGCGTCCTAGTGACATGACTACTTTGAACCAAAAAAAGCATATTCAATCTGCTACAGATGAGATAGACAAGTTTTTCTATAAATTGTATAGTTTTCGCGGCATCTGCTCTAGAAAGTCTGTAATATTGAAAATTTTCTTTTTGTCTTACATGTTCCCATCAGGAGAAAATCGACTAAATCAACTTTGAGCAATCATTCTAGACATGCGGGAGCATGTTAAGCCTAGTTCCAGCGAGGGGACTACATCGTGCGTATATTTAGACGAATCCCTTTGAGCCACTTTTGAGTCCTCATCACTCAAANAATTCTTTTTGTGGGGTTACCTAATGAGCAGAGTATACTTCAATAATCCAAAAACTCTGCAGCATTCATCCATCCTGAATCTATTTTGAGGTAACTCTAAGGGCCCCTGCACACGACGCCACCACCGCGCCGCTGCCGCGCCGCTGCCGCGCCGCTACACTGTTCATAAGCACCGAGTAAAACAGCCGCCGCGCCGCCACCGCGCCATCAAAGCATAATTTCGCGCGCAGCGCGGCGGCTGCGCGGCTGCGGTGTTCACGCGGCGCGTATAAACAGTGCAAAGGCGCGGCGACGGCGCGGCGGCGGCGCGGTAGCGGCGTCGTGTGCAGGAGCGCTTACGAAAGATTTCCAAAATGTTGATGTATGTTGACCGAATGTTGTAAACGTCAAGGGAATCATATATGTACGATAAAATTTATAAAAGAAAGTAAATTTTAAAATAAATTGCACTAAATTTCCTTTAAATTGAAATAGCTAAAGTTCTACAAAAATATACAGTTTTCGTTTCCTTGAATTTTCAAAAGTGAATTTTCTTCTGGGCTACCCTGTAAAACAATATACACGAAGTTGTGGAGAGATGGTGCTCGTGCTAGACTCCGAAGATCCTGTGTTAGGCCTCAGCCTCGAACTTAGCGGGCAGCGGCGCGGGAGCGGCGGCGGGGCGGGAGCGGCAGGATCTTATGCGTAAAATCAAATAGACCGGTTCTCGAAAACAGCGCGGCGGCGCCGGAGCGGGCAACGAGCGGGCAGCGGCGAGGGAGCGGGCAGCGCACTCCTTCTTTTGCCCACAATAAATCGAGCGTAAGGAATAAATTTGAATCGAAATAAAATTGTCGCCGTTGTTCAGACATTTCGTTCGCGAATAAAAATAAATATCTCGACAACACAACCCCGAACACAACACTTCGCCGCTAAAGCGCCGCGCGAGCTGCCCGCTGGTTTCGAGAACGGGTCTGCGTTGTCCGCCCCGCTCCCGCGCCGCCGCCGCCGCCGCCGCCCCGCTGCCCGCTATGTTTGAGGCTGAGGCCTTACGAGTTTTTTATTTTATTATTATTGAAACGCTATTGGAATATTTTAAAATTCATGATCACATAAGTACCTAAGTATATAATTACAGTGCGTTTATTAATCGTTTATTTCTATAAGGATTGTGTAGGTAAACGTATAATTATATTATTATATTTTTTCCCGTAAAAAAAATTAGCTAAATTTGCCGCCCCTCTAAATCTGCCGCCCTAGGCACTGGCCTACTTGGCCTATTGGTAAATCCGCCACTGAAGAACAGTACCTCTAATTAAACAGCGCCCCCTATATTATAGCCGCCCTAGGGGGCGCTGTTTAATTTTTCATACAAAATATTTCGATGGCACTTTGAATACGCAAACGAAACGAACTCGAAAGTTTTCGTAATAGAGGTACAGAACTGGATTGAAATCGTTTTCTATCATAATCGCAAATGATAAAATATTAATTATAAACACATAACTTATTGTAAACCCCGTTTCTGAATTTACATTTTTGCTTGAGCTCTGAAAAATCTCAATTCAGAAAATAGGCCTCTCTAGTCATTTTCTCTCTAGAAACTGGTCATTTTGTTTTGTTTTTCTACTTTCATAGAACGACGAATAAAGTTCACAATATTACAATTATTCAGGTAGGTATTACAGTAACATTTTATGGGGTGCAGCTTTCAGTCATCCGACAACTCGTGTTGAAAATGCAAACAATATTTTAATAATTGAAATTCTAAAAGTATTTTATCTTTTCAGAACATAGAAAATTACGTGTAAAATTGATACTGAAAGCTTATTTCTGAATACCCAGTCCCAAAGGAAAATCAAATATGCCTCAAGTCACGACTCATAAAGTGACAGACTTACGAGTCGTCGAGTGATAGAGGCGTGGGTCCGGCTTAGTCCAAATTGAAAAGACTTGTCTAGATATAGTATAGCATTAGACTGTATCAACGCTCCATCTAAGGGTAAAATTCAGCTTTCTACTGCATAACTAAACATGCCGCTAAAATTGGAAGGTAACCATAATGAAGATGAAAGACGAAGTAACTCGACGTCTTAATATGAAGATTGATGAAAAAAGATTCGTGGTTCCGATAATTTTGCCTTCCCCATGATTTACTCATTAGATACAAGAGAGTTTATTTCTAGCGAATAAATAAGAGATTAATCAACATAAAAACAAAGTGATGGGATTTGTTGACTTTTCTATGTAATGTTTGGCAGTGGCAGAGGTGCAAAGTCTGTGTTTCAGCGCTCTACGTCTAAAACACAGCGCACGTGGATGGATCCCAGTGGTGACGTAAAACAACCTTATTTTTGGCACGTTTATTTTTGTATATTTTTTCAGCGTTATGCGGGTGAATGAAATTTTTGGACAAGTCTTTTATACGGATCATTGAATAATAAAATTTGGCAAAACGTAAGCAGATTATAAATTATGTCTACATTTGGGTACTTCTCATTTACACTCAAATGTGATGGTCACACAATAATAGTTCATAAACGGTATAAGTTAGGACAATAACTTTGAAATCAGATGATAAAATATCTATTTAGCTACATACAAAATGAATTTTATCGTAATAGAAGCAAAACTAATACGAAAACATCACATGAAACGATAAAAAACGGGGTCATTTTTCGCATTCTCATCGTGTCACACCTTCGGTTTCAATGAAACATTTGGTTACTGCATTCACAATTTTCATTCAATTTGTGTGTAGCATATACTAAAATCATCGTAATTAAATATACTTTCCACACAATAGTCAAAAAAATATCTTCTTATAAATATTTCGAATTGAGAAAGCGAAATACGGTGGTCACACGATTTTAGGTACCTAAAATTTTGAGTAATAATACAAGATTGCCGTTAAACCGAACACCAGCAACCAATCACAGCGTTCTATTCCGTTAACGTCAGTCGCGCTCCGGCCATTGGGGAGGTGAGATAGGTCGATCATCGCTCCGCGAAAAAAATACGTGACTTTTGTGTTTATCCATAGACATACCGTCGCTTGCTTGAACAATATTTTCTACCTCTAAAATTTAACCAATTTAATTGAAACTTAGGCCATTGAAAACTTAACATGTTAGACTTATTTGTGTAGTATTCGACTTTATCTTGTTTTTAAGTAGGTACCTATTTATATTATGTTATTGCTATTTATCTATGAAAATAAGACTAAATATATGTTTTATAAACACTTAAGAGTCATTAACAGTAGTAAAGTTTGAAAAAAATATTGCTGTGAAGTACAGAATCACTTTCGTGGCATCAAAAAATTCAAAACGTTAAAGCTTCCAAACGACACTCACTATTTGACTGATTTACTGGGAATACAATCTTCACATCAAGCGCTACAATTTTTGTTTACAAAAAGTTGAAATAAGTTAGAAATAAATTTTGCCACGAAGGTGACGATGAGAACCGTGGCGATGAGAAATACCCATTTACCAGTTGCCAACGTGACTTTAGTACTTACCTACTTCAAATTTCA